AGGATGAAATGGAATGGTGACTGGGTTATCGATGTTATTTTTGACAGCAGAATGTTTCCTTTGATGGCAAGGTGAAAATTTTTTTAAAGCTTTAGCAGTGACCATAGGAAAATTGACACTGTCAGTGACAACTGATTTGAAATCATTGAATCCTTTAGAATGCAGAGATTCTGATGAACAAACTTTGAGAGAAAAATATGTATAAGGGTGAAAAAAAGCCATTTTTGCTTAGCAGGATAATATTATTTAGCATGAGAGGGTAAACAAATGGGTAAATTATTACAGTAAACAATGAAATCAAATTTGATACAGATTAAGACACAATAACATGCCGAATAAATACTAATTCAGAAGTCAAACAACAAAAATCAGCGTTATATTTACAAAATTTTCACAGGACTACCTTTGATGGTTTTACCGAACCACCATCCTCAGCTGCAAACCGCAAATGAACAAGATAGGAAATAATGATTAAATAAGATAAGAAAGCCTGGACAAGAATAAGCAAGTGGCGCCATTTGTTGGTGAAACCAGAACTAAAACATAATTTCTTTAAAGGCCGAAGGAAAATTTGGATTGGAATTAGGATCGTTAACTAGAACAGAAAGATTTTTATGAATGTGAAATGCCTCTAGAAAATCCAGTTCTCGAATGGAAGATGTTTTTTGAACAATTTTGGCAGCAGAAAAATTGAAAGTGTGATTTTCGGACCAACAATGTTGAGCAACAGAAGACTTCTGTGTTTCCTTTTTTCTAACACATGCCTCATGTTCCTTGATGCAAAATTTTAAGGCTCTCTTAGTTTGGCCAATGTAAATTAAACCACACTGGTAAGGAATCCTATAAATACCCCAGGAATTCATATCCGGAATGGGGTCCTTGAGTATGGAACTCGGAATTTTATTGATGGGAGAATAAATGACCCGAAAGTTAAATTTTTGCAAAATATGTGCAGCTTTATAGCTAACTGATGGAAAGAAGGGAATGACAACAGAATTTTTTATTATCTCCTAAAATAAGAGTGTGCCTTTTTGTGTGTTGAGATGAGAATTTTTTAACTGATTGATTAATAATGTTGGGTGAAAAGCCCCTGTCAATAGCTATTGCTTTTAAATAATTTAGTTCTTCATCAAGGGCTAGTTTGGAGGAGCAAACTTGAAGAGCACGGAAAACATAGGAATAAAATGAAGCTAACTTTTGTTTAGTCGGATGACATGATTTAAAGTGTGGTGGAAGGCAAACCGATGAAGGTTTACGGTAAACCGTAGTGCTGAAGTTGGATGTGTTACGTGTGACCAGAATGTCGAGAAACGGAAGATAATTGCAAGTCTCAAGTTCAAAAGTGAACTGAATAGCAGGATCAATAGAATTCATTGTTGAAAGAACTTTATTTAAATCATTTTTATTACCTTCAAACAGGGTAAAAGTATTGTCTACGTAGCGGAACCATGCCGGGAAGTTTAAAGTTTCAATTTATATATTTAATATTATATATCTATAGATGGAAGCAATAATACTGATGCAAAACTGTATCCAATTTTTTTTTTTTTTTTATTTTTTATTTATTTATTTTTTTTTTTTTTAAATCCAGAGTCATCAGAATTGGAGTGTAATTTACTTTCTGTCCCAACTTTAGAAGGATATTCAACAGGCTTTATAGCACAGCTAATTATTAAAGTTTTAAAAGAAAATGCAGTTCTTCGGATAATTGCTTAGCGCTTAGTGCCGACAATGCACCAGAAATGGTAGGCTTCAAGATTCATGTTGCAGATGTCTTAAAAAAAGAAAATTCAGATTTGCATATCATGAGGTGCACCTGTTACCTCTTAAATTTAGCAGTTGAAAAAGGAGCACCTTCTTTATGAATAAGTGTGGATGAACACATTGCTGATATTTATTATTATCTTGAAAAGGGAAGGAAAAATTGAAGCATTTCCAACAGCTGCATAATACTGAAATAAGAAAAAATTTTGGAAGTATGTATGTACACACTGGTTATCTATAATGAAATGTTTATCTAGAATCCTTGACCAATGGAACCCACTTCTTACACTTTTTAAAAATGCTTCTAGAGTTAAGATAAAAGGCTGTCTTGAAAGTTATAAAATACGTGAAGTAAATGGAGATATAGTTACTACTTCCACTGTTAAGAATAGGCAGGGAAAAAAAATTAAATAATTCCTACACCTTTGAGCAATTTAATTGATAATTCTCAAAATATAAGTGTAAAGCTTACCCAAAACAAAGCACTCCCCCTCCCCCCAAAAAAAATTGCTTGACAAGGGACACGTTTTCCAATTATTGTATGTTTATTTTGTGAAGAACGATTATTTATGTTTTTGTCTTTGGACCTTAACAAAACTTTTTTTTTTTTTTTTTTTTGTATGTTCCATTTTGCCATCATTAAATGTTCTTAACACAGTTCTACAGTGCAGAATTTAATTAATTCATGTTTTGTTCCCAATGATTAGTGATTTGGTTAAAGTAGTATTTAATGAATTGAAGTATTTTTCTGTTAAAAGGCACATATAATATACAGTCAAAAGTCGTTAATCCGGACTCGTCGGGACTTCGGCGATTCCGGATTATAGATCATCAGTTTAAATCTCGTAAGATGGCATGCAGAAATTCTAAAATTAAAAATATGAAACCGTAATTTATGAAATAAAGAACAATTATGATCTAAAGGGTATCAAAATTTGCAAAAAGAAAAAGCTTAATATTTATTTGTTTACTTTATTAAACATTTCTTTTTAATGTAAGTTGTTTAAGTTGCTTCCTTTCATGTGATAATACTTTCTCTTTAATTCTATTAAACAGACATAATTTCTTGTTCAGTTACAAAGTTCCGCTGTTCAAGTCCTATAATTGCTGTGTCAAGAACACCGACTAATTTGTCAATCGAAATTTTTTCGTTTTCAATAACCTCTGTCACTTTTCTTTGCTATCCGAAGCGAATTATAATGACGAGGAACTTGTTTTAAATCATATCAAAGACGGAGCATATCGAGATGAAATACTACATTTGGTAAGGAATTATAAGCCAAATAAAATAAAAACATCTGCGCTGAAGATAAGGATAGTGCTGACAGATCAACTTCCAATTCATTACGCGCCCGCCGCGGCGTTCTCCCCGCCGAGCAGCGTGAAATTGATAAACAGATTTTGGATTTCAAAACATACTTTCGCTTTAGATCCTTTACACATTAACAAATATATATCGGAAATTCTATTTGATATAATCGAAAGTTTAAGCTTACTTTTATAAAATTGCTCTTACAGTCTGCAAAAAATAATAAGCCGGATCCAATTCGAAAATTAAGGAACAACGCAATCGTCAACATTAACTGAAATAGATAATTAGATAATTTTAGCTTATACGTCCATTATACATAAAACGCGCACGCGAAAACGTATTCTGCACTTGCGCACACTCATATGCGCAGTCGTAAAAGGTCTTACGCGCATGCGTAAACGCCTATGCGCATGTGTCAACGCGGCGCATGCGCAGAAAGTTTTTAGTTTTGAGGTCCAGATTATAGATCATTCCGAATTATGGGTGTCCGAATTAACGACTTTTGACTGTATATATAATTTTACATGCAAGTATTTTTATATTATTCATATTTAAGAATTAGTAACTGAACTTTCATATATTAATTAGTTACTATTTAAAGTTAATTCATTATTAAAAAGTGTATTTTTCTTATATATACTTTAAAAATTCATTTTGTAATCAAGAAAAGTCTCCTGATTTTATAGTGTTGTAGGTTGATAACTATGATGTCTACTTTAAAAGTTTTGTTTAGTAAATCACTGAGGTCAAAATAGCTGTATTTATCTTTAGGATTTCACATGCAATTAAGTAGATAATATTATTTAAAAAAATTAAGTCATTATTACTGAAAATCCCTTTAAGCATATGAAAGTACGTTTTGGTATTATCTAAATACAAGTAACACCTGAAAGAACTGATGAACAATAGTAAATTTATTTTTAATTTTTATGCAGTAATATTGAAAAAAATATTTTCATTTAGCATTTTTATGAATTAAGTGTAGTTTTGTCTTGTTTATTATTTTTTAGCTCTGCAAAGAAAATAAATGTTGTCTACTGTGTATTTCTATTAATATTCCTGATAACAAATTTTAAAATATATTAAAATAGAGCAAGTTAAATGCAAAACTTTTGAATGTTTCCCTCCCCAACCAAAACCTGTAAATGAATTGAAATGTACTAAAAATTTCCTAATCGAGAAATTTGACATTAGATAACTTGTTTGTATTTCATGTGACTTTTTTAATTTTTCGTTTGCAAAACTATTTGTGGAATGTCAGTTTTATTTTATTTAATTCTGCCATTTCTAGACTACTTCTGTACACAACTAATTTTTTTTTTTTTTTTTTTTTTTTTGTTTTTTACGCACACTTCAGTTTATTTATTTATTTATTTATTTATTTTTTTTTGCACATTTAAAATCTGTTGTAAAGTTATTTGATTTGTATACATATACTTAGCGTATAATAAAAACTCCAACTCCAAAAATGTTATTTTATTAGTTAACTGACTCACCAGCGGCCAAGCGGTAAAGTCACTGAATACTGGTAGTTCAGTCCGAGGTTCAAATCCCGCAAATGGGCTGGCTGCATGGGCGTTTTCGTGGTTTTTCCCATGTGTAATGAGTATAAAAGCCATTTCCCTTCGAAAGTTCTCCACGAAGGCGTCCCTCCCGTTAGGCAGATAGCCCACGAGGCTTTGCCATAATCACACACACACACAGAAATTTTATTAGTTAACTTTTTATCACGCTTGAAACTGAAATATTCGAACATGGAGAATATGGAATAGTTTAACATTTTTGTTGATTTGTTAAATATTTTTAGCATTAAATTTATCTGTTCTAATAAATAGTTTTTTCATTTCCCTATTAGTAGAATATTTTTTTTTTTTTGTCATATTTGTTACCAGTTTTCTAACGTGTTTGCATTATTTTCTTATAGTTTGGGAGTGAAGAAAAGTAGTAAAGTGAAGGCAACGGTATACTATTATTTGTATTTGTATTTTTTTTTTTTTTTTTACTGTGCAAATAGTTTTTAAATGGGACTTGTTTGTATTTTCATGGTAATTTGTTTTGTTATTTAGGTTTTATTCTTAAATTATTAAAATATTTTTAAAAAAGCAAATGCAGAGACATTACAATTTTTAAAAGAATTAAAATAGCTTTTCAAAATAAATTATATTGTCTAACTTTTTTTAATATTTTATAAAAATGATAATTCAGAACTCGTTCATTTCATAACTGCAAAAATGAAAAAGAATTTGAATGTTTTCTAATGCAATAATTATTATTAATTTACCTTCAGAATCTAAGCTAATATTTAATAACTTGATTAATACTATCAGTGTTAGCAATATAATGTATTGTTTTTTCTTTTCTAAATTTTCATAATATTCTTATTAGTGTGCAAATCTGTTTGCTCTATTTTTAGCAACTATAGTCAAGTAAATTTTTCAAATAATTAGAAGCCATTTATTTTGAGTAATAAAATGCTGGATAGTACATTGAAAAATCTAAAACTGTTGGATTGATGCACATTTTAATTAAAAAATGGTTGATTGAGGGTAAGTGATGGAGGTCTTTTTTCTTCAAGAGGAGGGGAAGGAAATTACCTTTTTTTTTTAAATCTAAAATCAATTTTAGGCTTCTCCCTCCATTCAGATTTTACATTTGATGTTAGCATTTTTTCATTTCCATGTAGGAGTAGGGTTAATGTGTATATTATGCATTATTGTAAGGGGTAGATAATATTTATTTGGATATTCCAGGTGATTATATGCATGTGACTTCAAATGCTTGTCACAGGCCATAAGTTAAAGGGAAATTTCAATTCAACCATGCTTATGCATGCCATTTTCATTGTTTCTGAATTCCGTTGGACACTCTGTGGTTATATTTTTAATAACATATGGCTAAGAATGCTACCTTAAAAAAATTAAATTTAGAGCATTTAACTGATTTGAAATGACTTAAAAGTTTTTTTAGTATAATTTATATGATACTTTTTAAGCCCACAGGAGGAATAATATGACTGTTTCAGAATGTAGGAAAAGTATTCTCTAATGAGTATAGTAATCAAATACATAACATTGCCTTTCTTTCGAAGTTGTTGCTTTCCAAGCAGTGTCACTTAGTCATTGAAATAGCCAACCATATCACTGAAGTGCTGCTAAATTTTTAATGTGAACTATTGAAAATAAAATAAAAATATAGAAAATTGTTTCTATACCAAGTTTTGGTCATTATTATTATTATTATTTGTTCTTATAATCCATGAATGTTTCAATATATAAAATTTCAGGAATAAAAATTTAAATATGTTGGACTATATACACTTAAACAAATTGACAAAAATAGGAAAATTAATTATATTGAAAGGTTGGAATAAACTTCTCTCTGAGAATCATTTTCTTATCTATCTGATGGTATGAAGATTGAAAGTCTACAATGATTTGTTTAAGTGTTAAATGAGGATTTGTTCTGAAAATATGTTATGGTGCAAGGATTGAAATTCTGCAGAGATTAGCTTGATTGTCAGATAAAAAATCGTTTTGAAAATCTGCAGAATATTGTTTCATAAATTTTTTTTAAAATGTGTATCAAATTTTGAGAAAATTGCTGTTATATTTTTATTGCAAATATGTACATGCATAAAATTTCCAGAAAATCATCTCTTTAGAAATGGATCAAAAATGTATTTCAAAATTTGTGACTAGATAAAGCAACCCCAACAAAATTTGTGTAAATATTTTCTTGTGCACTTATTTAATTTTGCAATCTAGAGAAATTGCTTTTGTAAAATTTCTTGTTTTTATATCATTGTAAATCGCTTCAGTCCTGCTGTCACAATATTTACTGCAGTGCTTTCAATGTAAGTGTGTTACACACTATTGCACTTGTTTCAACATTAAAGGAAATAAATTAAGCTGTGTATTTCTTTAAAAATGGAAATGTAAATGAGTAAAACTAGTATATTTTATCAAAAGAAAAAGTTGTTAATTAGGTATTAAATAACATTTTAGATGAACTGATATGAAGTAAGGCCATATCTGAAGAATATTGATTTTAGTAAGCAAATGCGAGTATTCCAACAGATTTAAGGAAGCTTCCAAAATCATGTATTTCTTGGAAATCAGAAGTAAAATCTAATCTATGTTTGACCTTTGTTAAAAATCCTTTAACATATAGAATTAAAGAGGAAGTCCATAAAGAAATATTTGTGGTTAAAAAATGGAGGATTTTAATGTAAAAATTTAAAATATAAGAATTTCAGTTTAAGAGAATTTAACATTTCTAAAAAGGAAGGAAAAGAATAGCAGTCTTTCATCTATTAGTACTTACTTTTTTATGTTACATATTATGTGTAATACCAACAATAATTTAAAAAAGTGCATGTTCAACATCATATTTATACATTATGTTGTTAGTAACCAAGCATAACTAGAAAAGTTGAAGGATAATCTTTTCACTTTAACTTGAATCAAAGAAAATCTGAATCAGAGGGTATACTGCTATCTGCAGGCTACAGTTTTTAAATAACTTAATGTTTTTCATAATTTTGATAATGATAGCAATTTCTGGGCGGCTCATAGCAGGTATAGTTTATTTATAAGAATATATATTTTTGTAATTGTTCATATAGTATATTTTATCCATATCTTTATTTTAGAAATGATATAAAATGGTTTAAAAGTTTTTTTTTTTTTTTTTTTTTTTTTTTTTTTTTTATATCCTTCTCAATTACCCTAGATTGAAAGTCTTTCAACACAGTGCAGCTCAGGAGGTTGTAAAGCAAAGTGCCAAACTTAACATAAAGTTTACAGTTGATGCTTAGCATGGGAATGTATATATTTTTAGAGAAACTCCTTGTAAAGGAAATGTATGAATGTAATATTAGTCTGTTATTTTTTACATATTAAATATTGAAAGTTAAAATGTAATGTTGTAAATAAATTGTTGTCACATTTGTTTGTATGATCATGTTGCTATTAGCCTGTTTAAAAAAAAAATATTTGAAGCTATAATAAATTTTATTAGTGTAGGTTTAAAACAATTTAGTTTTAATTCTGAATAACAGTAATGTAAATGAAAAATATATAGATATGTAGAAATTTTGTAGAACTGAAGCATACTGAAAAATTAAATAATTTTTATATATGAATATTAAAATGAAATGAGGTTTAACTTGAATAGCTTTGTATTTTATTTGAGATCTATAATACCTTAAATATTTGAAATAAATAGGGTCAAGATTGGAAAATTATGCTATATATCTTCACATCTGTATTTCAAAATCCATTCATATCTCCATTATATTAAATATATTTTCAATCTTTATTTCAATTTTTTTTTCCTTAAGTCTTTGCATTAAAAGTTATAGACTGAAGTGCTGGTTACAAATAAAACTTAGCAATGTGATTATATTTTCAGGCAGCACAAGTTTTAATAGAGAAATATACTTTGTATTGATAACATGTCTTGTTGATGATAGAAAAGCTCTAAGTCACAAATGTTTTGGTGATTCCTAAGGCAAAACATGCATCTTTTGTTCTTTCAAAAGACTTTGGAAGCATTATAAAATTAGAGACAGATAGAGTGATGGAATTTTAATAAAATTGACAAGCAATAAGTCAATTTTATCCCTCTTTTTGTGAAAATAGTTTCACTTTAGCTGCTTTGTTTCTATAAAGTGATGTTCCTTGAATTTCTCAAAGGGACTGAACCAGTGCTTCTCAGGAACAAAGCCTGCCTCCAGCATAAATGTTGTCATAAAAATAAATAAATAAATAAATAAAAAAAAAACATCTAGCATGCAAAATACTATGATTGATGTCAGATTTATAGGTTTTACATTCATATTTATGTAAAATGAAATATTTTATTTGTTGCTTAGTGATACTTTTGAACAGAATAATTTATGCATATATAATGTGCCAAACTGAAGAAGAAATTGTTATAATATGGGAAAAGTATAGCTGTTTTCCTTCCCAAAAATGGTGGCAATCTCTTTGCTGGAAAACTTACGCGTCAACAGTCCTGAATGTTGCCTTACAGTTCACTTTTTTTAATATATATTTTATGATTTTAGCATGATAGTATGAAATGCATGCTGTGCACTTAAAACTACATTTTAAATTTTAAAATCAGAGTGTTTTACTAAAACTTCTGTAACATCAACAAAAAATCGAATTGCATAATCTAAATATTTTGTAATGAAATTATTGTTCTCATCATTCAAAATTGAATTAAGAAACCTGAAATCATATTTGAAAATTCTAATTTATGTATTTTCCAAAAGTGTGTTTCTTATTTTTCCTTTGTTAAATTATTATAATATTGAATCAGTTACATAAAAAAGTGATTTTTAATGTATAATGGAAAAAAATTGTGTCCCAGATTTTAGTTATCAATTTAATTATTATGTTGGCAGATCTTTTAATCAGTAATATTGAAGAAAAAAAATCTCATTGCCACATGTATTCGTAAATTGGGATGCAAGTGGGAGTGCTGTAAATGCAATATTAAATATGTTGTCACATTATAAGGTATTCCCCCCTTCTTGGCATGCCTTCGTGGTGTTGTGGTCTGCACACTGGGCGCATATTCCAGAGGTCTGCAGTTCGATTCCCAGCGAAGGCATTGCAAATTTTTCATCTTTCCTGTTTCCTAAATACCTAATGTCTCTACAAGTGACGCCTGAACTAAAAGGAGTGGTGGATGATGGCTCTCCACACCCAGGATTGGTGATTGGGTCCTCTATAAACCCCAGTCGCCCTTTAAAAGGGGGAATATATAAGATATTTCTCCCACCTTCTTGGCATGTCTTCGTGGTGTGGCGTGTATTCCAGAGGTCTGTGGTTCGATTCCTGGCGAAGGCATTGCATATTTTTCAAGTTTCCTGCTTCCAAAATATCTAATGTCTCTACAACATGAGTTAACATAGTTTGCATTTTTGTTGACTTAAAACCAAATTCTTAATAACCGTCATTATATTTATGATATTTTCGTTACTTCATAGTCATGCCACTGGTTGAAGACATACTTTCTTTAATTGCACTATTACGTTTATTACTCTTCCAAAATTGGTCCACCATCAAAGATACAAGAGAAAAAAATCAAGAAAAAGAAGTAATAGTGTGTAGTTAATTTTCATTATTACTACTCAGTAAGATGTGTAACTTCTATTTGTAAAAGTTTTTGAGAAAAATGTGCTGTTGTTTCGCCTTTCGATAGTTCATCTCTCATATTTTTTGTTACTCATAGTAGCTGTATGCGTGCCCAAAGATGTGATTTTCTTAAGCATGCATTCATTTCATCTGCTGGTGCTGACTTGGTGGTAACTGGAAGTCTGTCAAAAATCTCCTAAGAGTATGAATAAAGCACTTCCCATCATCTTCGCAAGTCCTATAATGTTCTGTCCATGGCTTCGAGTGATTTTTTTTATGTGCCATCATGCATTTTTCCCAGAAGATAATTTTAGCTTGTTTTAGAAGTTCACCCCATCCAGATGTTCTTGAGATATTTACATACCGAAAATTGTTCTTCGGCTATATTCAACAGTAGTTGTAGGGTGGAATGGACATTTCGTCCTCCTTCCAAAAGTGTGGCGGGAATGCCGGATGATGCCAATGCAAGTGGGATGTGTTATTTAGCACGTATTTCTGTGAGCAACGGATTTATTAGAAATGTTTTCACGATGCTGCCTGGTGGGTCCAAGTAAATAATTCCGCCAATGTTCTAGTTCATCCGGTCCATGATAATGTTGTAACTTATTTTTGATTGTCATTGAGGAGGGGTTTGATGTGAGGAATGTATTGAAGTAGATCATTGATGTTGTATCTTTTTTCCTTTGTAATTTCAAAGTTTAGCACACTGAAAGCATCTTGTCTTGGTGTTGGCATCCCAAGTTGTACTACCCTCTGGTTTTTTATTGCTAAACATTTATCTTCTAGGCGAATGAGTGTTTCATTGAAGATGTCATCATTGGATTCGGTGGCCAGTTCTGAATAAGCTTGTCGCATTTGGTACAGTATGTCATCACTCATGCTTTCTTTGAAGGAGTCCCATACCTGTTTTGAATTTAATGTGTTGCATGTTGTAAGAATTATGGCGAATAAGTCTCTGATTTGTTCAGCTGAGGCTGTGAGGGAGGCTTCTTGTAGTGTTAATTTCCAGTAGTTTTAAGAGCTGGCGTGCTTCGTCTGTACGTCTGGCATAGGTAATCGCCAACAGTCTTGAAATCTGTGAAACTTCTTGGTCCCCGTATTTCATGTGGGAACATCTGGAGATGGAAATATTCAGCATTGTTCGGATGTACGGTAGCCTAGTGCATTTTCATAATTCCTGGATGATCTTCTATTGGAATTCTTTGTTTTCATCGTTGAAAGATTTTTCTTGTTGTGTTCCACGTATAATAGAGAGGGATATGGACATATAGTGATGTTTTCGCAAATGGATCCATTTGGTACAGTTGGAAAGAAGTTGTAAATGTTGCGCTCTTAGATGGTTCACTTGCAATTTTTCTGGTGGTTTCTTTTGTGAAGTAAACTCTGTGTCCATTCTCCAAATGTACTGCTAAGTGTTGCACAGTTGGTTCGTGTTCATGTATAGAAAACCGAAAATCCGCCACGCTGCTTCATTAGTGTTGATTTATCTTCCCATTTGGTACATTAGGATCTCGTCATTTCTGTTTTGTTGTTCTGTGTCTTTTTTTATTTCAAACACTGATATGTCACTGCCTTTGTTCATATACTTACAGACATGTTTAATGGATTTCACTCAATTTCAGTATTCTACCTTTATGTGTGCTTGGAACATTTTGGAAAGTAGTGGGTTATATGGTATTAGCCATTGATTATCTATGTCCAGTTCACCTCTGCCTCGTATTCGTATTTTTGCTGTGAAGCCACCGTTTTTGGGTGATCACCTTCTGTTCTTCCAGCTTGAAGTATATCTTCATAGCCATCATCTCCGGTTTATGTGTTGTCCAAGTATGGTTTTAGGTGTACATTTTCCATCACTCATACATGGCGAATTAGGGTTTAACAACCCACATGCTCGTAGAATCATGTTGTTCACAACTATGTTGTATAGTTCTGGATCTTTTTGTGGATTGGGAAGTTCTTGGATGATTTTTGTCGATATCCTTGGGATGAATTCTGTCATGTAGCCATATGAGATTGTGTGGGTGAGGCAGTCCTTGTTTTTGCCATTTGACTGTGTACATCCAAAGATGTGGTATTTTGTGATGACTTCACAATAACTCATTTGTTTTTGTCGGAAAATGCGGGCTATTATGTTGTGTCGATCCATGGGGGCTTGTTCATATATTAGTTGTTTTTTTATTTCTGGCCACTTTGAGTTGCATGTGAATGCTATGAAGAGATCAGAGCGTTCATATTTTCCTACATAAATCATGACATCTTGAATGTATTCGTACATGTGTATCAGACTTTCTATGTAAGATGAGGGTAAGGTTACCATTTTTCCATTGTCATCAATGTTTCCGTCATTTATGATCGTGTCTTGAAGGTGGATGTATTCTTCCGTGCATAGTTTCTTCTGATTCAGTCTTATGTAAAGCAGGTCCACCAGTGGCCAAGCGGTAAAGATGCTGAACACTGGTATTTCGGTTTGAGATTCGAATCCTGCAAACGGGCTGGCTGCATGGGCGTTTTTGTGTAATGTGTATACGAGCCAGTTTCCCTTAGGGAGTCTTCCACAAAAGCATCTCTCCCTTTATCCAGATAGCCCTCGTATGCTTTGCCATAACTGAATAATCCATCCTTATGTAAAGCATCCGTTTCACTTCTATTTTTGCATACATATCTACCAGGAATTGTTGGAATAAATGGTGAGTGTTGAGAATGTGATTGTATGTTTCATTGTCTCCGATCATTAAGCGGTCCAGCATAGAACTCCTTGGGAGTGAATTTTTTCTTTATTTCTACACCTGTTTCAGGTTGGATTTGTTTCACATTAAAATTATATCTGTCCTCTCCGTGTAGAAATATGAATGGATATTGGAGCGTATATGAACGGTATCATATGAATGGGGTGTCTCTGCAATCTGTTGTAGTCCTTCTCTTCTTCGTTCTACAATTATGTCATGGCTTGTGTTTCCATTGTCCACAATTACAATAGCGACTTCATCTACCTGAGGTGCGAATTACAACTTTATAGTCATCAGAAATCATTCAGTCTAGTGCTGGTTTGACTATATGAATAAGTTGATTGTATTTTTGTAAGATCCTCTGTACATTTTAAATTATTTCTTGTCTCAATCCACTGATGTTTGTGCATCGTTGATCAATTTCACTTTCTTCATTTCCGATGAAAGATGCCTGCAGATATTTATAGTCTTCATTGGGTAGTGGTAGTAATGATCCCATTTTGTGATAGATTTGTCCTTGGATGGAAAAAACATAGATTTAATCTCTGTTAGTGTTAATCAAAATGACACTGAAAGAAGTCATTTGGAAGCAGGTGTTGCACGCTTTTATATTTTGAAGAAAGAGTTTTGATTCTGAAGTTTCCCTGATAATAAAATGTAGAAATTCCTTGCGCAGGTGCTTCCAGTGGTGGTAATCAAAATTTGCCATTCATGCAGCAGATTCCTGGTGTTTCTTTCTCTACTCAATTTTTAGCATTGCAAAATTGGCAGATGTTATTCATTTTTCCAATTATGTGTTTGTGTCTGTTATATTCTTTCGTCAGGTCTTAGTGGAATGCTTCATTGTTAGGTTGTACTGTTTACTTGTTGTCATCCTCGCTTCTCATAGGGCGATATTTTCATGGGTGGCTCACATTCGCAGTTTTTAATTATAAGATTGTGTCGCAATTGAGTTTACATTCTGTTATTCTATGGTTTCTCTGCTTCTTATGGTGCTCATTCTCCTTTTTTTGGAAATGTAAGCATGCTTCTTGCTCTTCAACTTTTTCATGTTTTTGCTGTTCTTTTTGTTTTCACCGTTTTGCTTCAGAACTGGCAAGATCTCCTCCTCTTTTACGTTTGACCATTATATAAAATATAAATCTAATCAACTTTTTATTAAGAAACACACCAAGTATATTTACAGACTTTATTTTTGATTTCAGTCACTGTATCACTCTGATTACTCATACTTCACTGTTTGTTTTTATTCACTCACTGCACTTCACTGATAAGAAACTGACGTTGGAACCACGACAGATCCCTCGACGGACGACCCTTACCAATGAGTAGCTCCACCCATACAAAAAAGGCTTCGAATGGTCCACAATGTTTCAGAACATTCCACAACAATGCAGAATCATCATGTTGCGGAATGCTCTCGTATGTTCTGGACTGTTGTAGAAATTTCTAGAGGGTGAAACTTCCAGCCCTTGTACCTTCAAATTCGCTTTAAACCAAAAAAATTTATGTAGCAAGCTTCTGGTAAAGATGGGAACCTTCTTCATGGATGGGGCATAAAAATGAGCTACCACACCATGTAACTTCCTTGATCGTACCAGGGCTTGTTACTGAGTTTTAGCGGCAAGCACATTGTAAACTTTCTTTTATAATATATATTGATTAATAAAAATAAAAAGCATTTTCAGTAAAATAATTCTGATTGTTTAGCATGTTTTCAGTGTATTCAATATCAAAACGTATTAAGGAATTCCAATTAACAGAATTTTAAAATGGGGTAAAAACATGAGCCCCAATATATCATATTTTGCAGAACAATTCTTCTAGTCCTATCTTGATTTAATGCTTTCTTATAAATATTTCAAATTTTCCTTATTATCTGTTTTAATCTCTGAAGTTATCTTTTTGTGAATTTTGCCTTTTGTTACATAAAATCACAATCCCTTCTAACTTCTTTTTCTTCGTATAATTTTTTAATATATATAATTCATATAACTTTTTGTATTCTTAGCTTTGAAAGTGGGAAAATTTTTAATTCAGTATCCAATGAATGTGTGTTTTTATGGAAGACTGTCATTCTTCTGACTGAACTTCTGTCATTGAGAACCTTAATTTTTTTTTTATTTTATTTTATTTATTTATTTTTTAAGTTTTGAAAACTTAACTGAAATCTTGTTAGGCAGCTGTTGGCAATTTAGATAACTATAACTTCTAACTCAGCAGTACGATCTAACATACTTGCATCCCGTGAGTTTTGTTGTAGAATACTTAGAGCATCTACAAGCTTCTTATAACTGCTATTCATATCTTCCTTATTTTTTGGTAAATTCTTATTGTCAACAAATAACACTGAATGCTTCAGAGCAATGATTTCTGTTCAATTTCTCTCAAGGATATAACATCAATGTCTATTGCAAAACTGAAACTGTTTCCTCATAATTGTGTAAGTGTAAATGTTTTGTCAGAATTTTTCATCATTTTGATAACGGCAAGAAAGAAAGTCAACAAACTATTTAGCATGCTAAAGAAATTGAATGCAGCTCTTAAAATTTGACTTCATTACTTACAATCAAATTCGTTTTAAACGAAAACAGTGTATGTAGGGAGCTTTAGTTTTCTTGAAGAAAGCATGCTTATGTTGCACTTCCTAACTTCCTTTTTTTTATCATATGACTGATGCAACAGGTATCTTAAGATCAGATAATACAGTGTTTTTTATAGTATCAACTGTAAGCTTTGTAAAGTGTTGATTCAAGGTCACAATTAAAGAGTAACTCAAGCAGTTTTAGATAAGCACTTGCGCGAGTACTGAGCGAGAAAATTTTTATTAATTTTATTTTAATAATTATATTAATTATTATTTTATTTATTTATTTATATTTATATACCTGCCAACTTTTACGAATTTTTCGTAATTTTTACGAAAATGCGTTTGTCTTACGATTTTTACGATCGTAATCCATTTTTTACGATTTTTTTCCTTTTTCAAGTGTTTTTAGTGATTTTTGTCGAAATTTAGAATTTTTCGCCAATTGCATCGTGTTTTACCGCCAACTACCGACTACTTCGAAGCCAAGGTCCGTACAGTGAAAGGTGTCTTGGTGAGATTTGCACTTGTGAAACGGAGAAGTACCAAAAAATATTGACACTTACTGCTTGAAATTGTACTTTAAATTGTTTTCATTCGCTTTGTTTTCTTTATTTTTACTTAATGTGTTTGTTTCAACTTTTTTCTAATTACATATCTATAATGCCTCTGTCTGTTAAATTTTAATTTTTAAGGTGTGGGAAAAATGAAAGGATGTTTGATATGCAAAAAGTCATTTATACTCAATATTATGTAATGCTTAAAATTTTTACTGTTACAAGCAAACCAGCGTTCATTTTGCAACTTATTTGCAAGTAAAAGTCCCTGAAAATTATTATTGCTATATGTAATTTTTTTTTTTTTTTCTTGTAGATCCATGAAATGTTTTTAAATTTGCTACATATTTCCACTTAAAAATTATTAGTTAGTTCGCAGTGTATGTTTTAGCTATTGAAATAAGTTTGCTTGTATCTTACGGACCTTGCTTCGAAGCCAGTAATCTGCGGTTTCTCCCAACTCGCCGCTTAACCAGCCAATCCAATGCGCTGAACTTGTTTCTCCCACTCTTTTCTTTGTGGGCGACAGGTATTTTTTCGCGTTCGCTTCAGCAGCAAGGGAATTACTCAGCGAGTTTTCTGTTCTTCTTTCTTCTTCTTTTTTTTTTTTTTTTTTTTTTTTTTTGTTTGCACGTGCTACGAATTTTCTTAATACGTCGTTGTTACGAAATGAGTTAAAAAAAACCGTATTCTCAATATTTTTGGCCTGCCTATAAAGCCGAATTTCCAACAATTAAAGAATCCTTCAAAGGAAATAACTATGCATTTTGCAACGTGTGTGTGTGTGACTTCATAATACTTCACGGTGGAAGAAGCGACATTGTGAAGCATGTTAAGTCTAAAAAGCATGAAGTTAATGCTTCGGCTTCGACAACGTCAAAGAAAGTGGATGATTTTTTTTCAAATTCGGCTACGAATTCGGATGCCGATGTCATTTTGGCAGAGTGTTTGTTTACTGCATTCCTCATCGAACACAACGTGCCGCTAAGCGCTGCCGATCACGCCGGTCAACTTTTCAGACGGATGTTTCCCGACTCCAAGATTGCTCAGAAATATGCTTGTGCTCACACGAAAACATCTTCTATTGTGAACGAAATTGCTTGCGATGCACAAAGTAAAACAATAGCTTCACTCCAGTATTCAGCATTTTCGGTGTCAATCAATGGCAGCAACGACAGCGATTGGAAGCTTTACCCCATCGTTGTCACATATTTCTGTGATGTTTCTAATGAAATGAAAACTCATCTTTTGCATCTTCCATTGTTAAATGGAGACGCTACGGGGGAAAATATTGCCTCCTTGGTAATTAATGAGTTGAAACAACTTAACATCCCAATATCAAACTGCATTTCATTTGGTGCAGATAATGCTCATGTCATGGTGGGTGACAAAAAGGGTGTAGCCTCTTTCCTCAAAAAAGAACAAAATGAATTAATTGTTATTGGAT